AAAAAAAATTTCAAAGTACCTTAAATTTGGAACAAAATCAACGCACTTTGAAATTTTTTTTTTCAAAGTGCGTTAAGAGTGTACATCAACATTTTTTACCATGGAGACAATTAACGGACTTTGAAAAAATATGTATAAAACTTCTGGACTTAGATTTTAGTAATAGACAGCATTATTTGTTATTTATTTCGAAAAACTTATGAATTGATCTAGCCTCATCGAGAACGAGGAGCAGACAGGTAGAAGGTCCCTCAGCCCAACTCTATCTTTCTACCAAAATAAATGTATTTACATAACTGGTATTAATATGCTTTTTGTGCCCCTGTATCGAAGATTCAGGGGTATATAGTTTTTGCCCTGTCCGTCCGTCTGTCTGTTTGTCCGCTAAAACTTTAACCTTGCCCATAACTTTTGATTGGTTGGAGCTATGGCTTTCATACATGTATTTCACATTGTGTATTCCTTGTGACAAGACCTTTCTTTGGGTACCACCATATTTGACCTTTTGACCTTGACCATGGCGTTTGACCCAGTTTTGCAAAATTTTACCAAACTTTAACCTTGGCCATAACTTTTGAAAAATTGGTGCCAGGGCTTTCATACTTCACATGTATAATCCTTGTGATAAGACCTTTCTTTGGATACCAACAACTTTGACTTTTTGACCTTGACGTTTGACCCACTTTTGAAAAAAAACCTTTAACCTTGGCCATAACTTTTGAAAGGTTGGCGCTTGGGCTTTCATACTTCACAAATGTAATCCTTGTGAGAAGACCTTCCTTTGGATACCAACAACTTTGACCTTTTGACCTTGGAGTGTGACCTACTTTTGGAAAACTTTAACCTTGGCCATAACTTTTGAACAATTGGTGCTAGGGCTTTCATATTTCACATGTGTAATCCTTGTGACAAGACCTTTCTTTGGATACCAACCACTTTGACCTTTTGACCTTGACCTTGGAGTTTGACCTACTTTTCGAAAACTTTAACCTTGGTCATAACTTTTGAACGATTGGTGCTTCGGCTTTCATATTCACATGTGTATTTCTTAGGAGAAGGCCTTTCCTTGGGCACCATTAATTTCGACCATTTGACTTTGATGTTTAACATACTTTTGAAAAACTTTAAGCTTTTCCATATATATTCAATGGTTGCTGCTAGGGCTTTCATATTTCACAGGTTTATTCCTTGAGACAAGACCTTACTTTGGGTACCAAGATATTTGATTTGCATTTGAGAAAGTTTAACTTTTGCTATAAGTTGCCATACGGTGGCATCAGTGTTTCACAAACACATCTTGTTCTCAATAAATTTGAGTTAACATATAATAGATGAAAAAATTTAGATAAGCTTTCCTGGGGGAAAAAACGCACACTCTATTATATTAAGGAAGAGATGCTCAGGGGCCATATTGCTGATCTACGATTCATTACCAACTGACTATACTTTGGCCAAAAGAAGCTTAACAAAATGAAATACAATACAAATCCCCCCCCCCCCCCCAAAAAAAAATAAAATAAAATAAAAACTTGTATAAAACGCATAAATATTTTTTTCGTACCTCTTACTACTAATCAGTAGATAGATAGATGAATGAGAGATAGAGAGAAATCATAATTTCCCCCTCCCCACTTATCGACCCCTACATCTACCGAACTTATTACAGACTTGATAAAATTAAAAAAGAAATGAAATTGTGCTATTAAACAATCATTCCCCCATTATTTCTAAAAGACCCATTTCCCTTTTATTTTTTTCATTTAAGAGAACCTTTGGGAACAAGACAACCCCTAAAAATCTTTAAAACGTCTACATGTATATCTCAGATCCTGAAGTGACGTCATCAGCAAAAAGTTGTCCAATCAGGTTCAAATAATTATTTATCATGCTAAAATTTGCAAGAATATTGACCAAGACATGCACCTTTTTCTTCAAAGTGCGTTAATATCGTCGATATTAACGCACTTTGAAAAGAAATAATTTTCTTTTCTTTTCTTTTTTTGACTTTCATAGATCTTAAAATGGAGAATTTTGTTCTTCACATCGCACTCACTCTTTCGCAGTTTATACCTATCAAATTAAATTTTTAAACAAACATAAATTAAGCTATAGTTCACACTTAGTTCTGATTACGGTGACAATGCAGGATGGACTTGCGTGACATCTGGTCAGAGTTTTTTTAAAAATGTTTCTGATACTGCAGGTATGTTTTATGAGTTTACTCAGTATTTCATTATCTTGGAACATTTTCCTGGGGGTAAATGCAAAGTACCCTACATTGAAAATGTAACAGATAAGCTCAATTTTTACACATTTACACTTATAATTTTCTCAGTGTCCAAAAAAACTTTTCCTTTAAAGTATAAAGGTTCCCTAAGATCTAACTATGCATATTTATTCTTAATTCTTGATTTCCAAACTGTTTACCAAATGTCTTAAAAATAAATACACCAAAAATTGTAATTTTGACAATTAAAGAGATTTCCAATAGGATTATATAGGAAACACCACCCTACTGTACCTTGCACAAATGCCTGGTAAGGTACCTCAATTTTTTGTGAAGAAACTTGTTAAAGAAGCAATACTTAAATTTCAAATTCTAGGGAAAAAATATATATTATTGACGAAAGTGTCATCTGACAAGTTTTGATTTATAGGTGCAATGAGCAAATTAAAAGAATTGTGGTCCCCTGCTTTTGGTGTCTTAATGGATGAGATTCCATTATTTATGACATATTGTAACTGTCTTGTTTGTGTATCCTGCCTTGTCTGTGCATCATACAAAAAAGGTATAAATTATTGAATTAATAAGGTATTGCAAAAATTATAGCTTTTCAAATTTCATGATCAAGGACAAGAGGTCAAATATCATAATACAACCCGAAAGGTCTTGCCAAAAGTAATGTACACAGGGAAAAAATATCAAAAACCAGAGTATACAATCAAAAAGGTCTTGAAACAGGTACTGCACATGCCAAATCTTCTCTCAATCAAAAGTTAGCAATGATAAAATTTTTGAAAAGTAGGTCAAACTTCAAGGTCAAGGTCACAGTGCCAAAAATCATAGTATATTTGGAAAGGTTTGTCACAGGTAATGTAAATGTCAAATATGAAAGTCCCATCTCTTCTCATTCAAAAGTTATGACCAAGGTTAAAGTTTTTGTGACCCATTGACAGATGGACAGACAAATGAAATTTAATGTTCCCTTGCTTTTGCAAAAGTGAGGGGCAATAAGAGCCAAATTCAGCCTTTCAACATGCCTTATTTGTCCTTTAAATCTACAAAACATGAGAATGCTTTCCAATTTCTTTGACATTCTGTAGCCAAGTATTCGCTGAGAACAATTTCTTTTCCTGAACATTTCTACCAAAAAACAAGATGTGTTTGCGAAACACTGGTGCCCCCATATGGCAACTTATGGCAAAGGTTAAACTTTCTCAAATGCAAATCAAATATGTTGGTATCCAAAAGGTCTTGCCTCGAGGAATATACCTGTGAAATATGAAAGCCCTAGCAACAACCATTGAATAGATATGGAAAAGCTTAAAGTTTTTCAAAAGTAAGTCAAACATCAAGGTTATGGTCAAATGGTCAAAATTAATGGTGCCCAAGGAAAGGCCTTCTCACAAGAAATACACATATGAAATATGAAAGCCGAAGCACCAATCATTCAAAAGTTATGACCAAGGTTAAAGTTTTTCAAAAATAGGTAAAACTCCTAGGTCAGGGTCAAAGGGTCAAGGTGGTTGGTATCCAAAGGAAGGTCTTGTTACAAAGAAAAGACATGTTAATTTAAATATGAAAGCCCTAGCACCAACTGTTCAAAAATTATGGCCAAGGTTGAAGTTTTTCAAAAGTAGGTAAACTCCTAGGTCAAGGTCAAAAGGTCAAAGTTGGTGGTATCCAAACAAAGGTCTTGTCACAAGCAATAAACATGTGAAGTAGGAAAGCCCTAGCACCAACTGTTCAAATGTTATGACCAAGGTTAAATTTTTTTTCAAAAGTAGGTCAAACTCCAAGGTCAAGGTCAAAGGGTCAAAGTTGTTGGTATCTAAAGGAAGGTCTTGCCACATGGAATACACACGTGAAGTTTGAAAGCCCAAGCACTTACTGTTCAAAAGTTATGACCAAGACTAAAGTCTCATAAAATTTTGAAAATGTGGGTCAAACTCCAAGGTCAAGGTCAAATATGATGGTACTCAAGAAAGGTCTTGTCACAAGGAATATACATGTGAAATATGAAAGTCATGGCTTCAACCAATCAAAAGTTATGGGCAAGGTTAATATTTTTGCGGACAAACAGACAAACAGATGGATGGACGGGGCAAAAACTATATACCTCCAAATCCTTGATACAGGGGCATAAAAAAGGCTCACTTTGTGCCCATGTCCTAGGGCCAAAAGGTGGGGGGAAAAACAAACTTGAATTTACACTGCTTTGTGATGCCTGAATTTATGAAATTTGATGATAATTTGCTTGTAGAAGAATTTTAAAGATGTTTTCCTGTGCAACTATTTTTGTACATGTGTATTCCAAGTTTGATAAATTTTAGACCAACAATTCTTTGGGGGAAAAATTATTTTTAAGTACATTTTCTAGATTAAGTAACTCTGAGAATTCTTTTTATAACTTCAATCCTGTCAAAGGACTGTATTTTGAACATGGTTGAATTTACATAAAATGCAAATAATGTTTATAATGACAATCTTTAGCTCTGTAATTCTGAAGCTGGTAATAAGATCTAAAATTCTAAACAACAAGCTAAAGATGTTGGGAGTTTTATCATTTATGTTTAGATGTGGATCCTACGCGGAAACTGCAATTGCTTTTTCTTACATACAGGTACCATTTTATTATCAGGAAAGTGCTGAAGGTACAAATTACACACATACTTACTTATTTTACCCTGAACTCATTATTATCAGCAATATTGAATAAACAGATTCCAAATATTGTGCTTTCTGTAATAATATCTAATTGTTGAATATTCTGATTTCAGTGATACAGCTAGGAATTTTCACAGGCAGAAACTACTAGTATATGAAAATACAAATAAGGAAAGCATGATAAAATGCTACATTAAAGGATAATACTTCATTTATTAAATGAAAAAAAAGAGTTTATTTTCTATTTTCTCATTCTAGCTTATTTTGTCTTTTGCTTCTTTTCCTACACAATATTCCAGTCACCAAGAAAAGAACTGTTACACAATGACCAATGAAGTAAATAGATCTCCAGTAAGTCAAAGTATAATCCAAACGAAGAAGTAAAAATCCCATACACATGTAATCAAATCCACGCATTTTGAAAAACCAGCAAGCCCAATCAAAGCACTCAATCTGTGTTTGTGATCCATGTCTGAATGCAGCTCTCATTTTGTCCTCTGCCAGAAGTATGACTGGTACCAACAGGAAGCTGAGGTAATACCCGGGGTAAATCCCGTGCCAAAAAGCACTCACTGTCATTGTTATTGCAACACTAAAAATAAACAAAACTAGATATCATTGAGATTGCAGCTCAAAAGGCCCTTCTTTTAGTAAAGAAAGGGACACTTTGATGAAAGGAATTGTAAAGGACTATATTTATAAGAGGACCATTTTTTAATCAAAAAGTGTTTGTCTCACACAGAGTTCTGCTTTGACCTTCACCTTCAAAAGAAATGTACAGTGGCGCCTCATTAATCCGGACACCTCCTTCTCCAACGAAATAGTCCGGATAAATAAATCGTCCGGATAAGTGAATCACTTCTTAAAAGACGTACCCTCTCAAAGCATGAACATAGTGGTATCAAATGTGAAGGCAAAGAAAACACCTTTATTTTACCTTGACTTATTGATTTCATTTTTTATTGTTTTAAAAGAAATAATTAATATTTAAAAAAAGAAATAAAATGTAATTTACACAATGAAAAATGGAGAGGCAGTTTTATGTTGAGACTTCCTTTCTTTACTCGCCTTCTATTTGACTATAGCTACATGGGCTTACCAAATTTTGATCTGCTACTGTTTTATTTCGGCACATTTTTTTTTATTTATTCAAGCTCATGTTAAGTAGAACTGTTCATTATCACCATTGAGAATGTTCAAATGACTAACCACGTAAATTCACTACATAGGGAAGTAAGTAACTAAACACTGTAATCAGTGTACGTATTGCAAACATTCAACGTAAATACAAGCCATATTCAGGATTATCAATACTTTTTCTATAAACTCTAAGTTATATACCTTGAAAAAATGTGATCAGCATTTATAACTAACACCAGTTACGTATTTCTTAGCGCATTAAATAGAAATATATTTTCTTCAATTATGTATCATAATAAATTGTCTTATGAAAAGAAAAAAAAAACGTTTCAAATAATGTACGTTTTGAGAATTGGAAAATCGTATTTTGATAAACTTACGCAACTCAATACCACAACGAAATCTCGTGATTTATTATTCAGTTTAAAATTTTATTTACAACTCTCCAAAATTCTCATAAATTTATATACCGTTAGCAATTTATTCTATTCTGAATGGATTTATATTTAATTAATGCACAGTATAAGCTAAATTCTTCGGGCTTTATGATATAAAAGACGTGTTTTATCGGAGGTAAACACACACTAATTATAGACGCTATTGTTTAGAGATCACAGGTAACCGCCTTCAAACTGACTCCACGGACAATGTTTTTACAAGAATTATTACTACTGCAAGAAAGGTGTGAAAAGTCGTTCCTCGAAAAATTACCGTCCACATAAACGAGTCATTTTTCAATGAAATATTACGTTTTGTAGTAGAAATTGAAAGTCCGGATCCGGAACGCGAATTTCCGGATTAATGAGACAGAATAACGTGGAAAAATCGGTTCCCAGAAAATATCGTCCAGAAGGTGAAGTGTCCGGATTATTGGCGTCCGGATTACCGCGGCGCCACTGAATTGTTATATAGCTGTACAGTACATCATAAACAAGAGGCCCAAGGGCCTTTACAGTCACCTGAGTATAATACAACAATGTAAAGGATCCATGGAAGTATAACTAACATAGATAATCAAAGATTACTAAGCTCACCTCAACAAATGCTATCTAATAAGTAAGGCAAATCTCACATCCCATTTTTTTTTTCCTAGTAGTTTGCATCCCGAAATCAACATCCATGCAAGTTTGGTTTAAGTAGGACTTACAGTTACTTGGAAATGGACCTGCTCCAAAAACTTATACCTGTTCAGTAATCAAGTAAATGTCTATCAGTTCCAACATCCGAAGCAAGTCTGGAAGTGTCCATCCCTAGATGCATCATTCAAACAAGTTTAATCATAATAGGCCACATAATTAAAGAGCTACTCCAAAAACATAACCCTGGTCACTCAGCTGGAAAATGAAGGTCAGATATCCATCCAAAACAAGTCTGGTAGTGTCCATCCTTAGATGCATCATCCATGCAAGCTTGGTCCAGGTAGGGCTTATAGTTACTTGGGAATGAACCAACTCCAAAAACTTTGACCTGATCACTCATCTGGAAAATGAAGGTCAGATTTAGCATCCAAGCAAGTCTGGTAATGTCTATTCCTAGACGCATCATCCATACAAGTTTGGTCCAGGTAGGGCATATACAGTACCGACCAGACACAACCTAACAGAAAGCGAACCCAGAGCGCACCCCGGGTTCGCTCTCTGGGTTCGCTTGGGGTCCGTTAGTGCTGACCCCGAGCGAACCCGGAACGCACCCGTAGTGAACCCGCAGCGAACCCAGAGTGGACCCAGAGCGAACGCAGAAAGCAAACCCCAAATTCAGTAGCGGTCCCAGAAAGCGAACGCGTGTTCGGTGTTGCGTAACAGAGCCGTCAATCAGGATCAGCGATTAACTCATCAGCGCGCCGACCAATCAACATGCTGAACAGGTCTGTCAATCAGGAAAAGTGATAAAATGCGTTGACCATCAGCGCATCAACCAGTCAACATGCCAGTTTGTAATCTAAACATTGTGCAAATAAAGCGTGTTAATGTATAATGTAAAAATATTATTAATATGATTTTTAAACATGGTTTTACATTTATATATTTTAATTCTCCAGACAACACGCAAAATTTACACATCTATTTTCATTATTTTTTATTTTTAAAATCTATTAATACATGATATATTTTTATCATCCAGGTAGCATGTTACATGTATAGTTACATACTTATTTTCTTTATATTTTTAAAATCCATTAATATATAAATATACATTGCGTAAATTTATCAGACAATAAGTACTTTAATTCATAATAGAAAAAAGAAGATAATAATGGTTATAACAATTGTTACTAAAGAAAAAAGAATTTAAAAAACTGGTCTTCGATAAATTATAGAATTTTATTATCTCATGATCTCATAGGGAAAGATTATTTTGTCAATTCTATTTATCCTACATGTAGGCCTTACATTGTATGTTTTTGAATTTTTGTAACTACTTGCAAGTCAGTCAAAAAAAAAAAAAGAAAACACGCAAAAATGCTTATCACTTTCCTTCGCGTCAATATATATAATTATACAGATTTACATGTTCACGAACCTCTTACATGTACTACATGTAATTTTCGAAATACTTTATATGGATATAAAAAAAATACTAGACGGGTACGTTTTGTACTTGTGCATAACGTAATATTCCAACATTAGTAAATTGAACTTGTAAAGATACCTTTATACGAAAACGTACATATATTTTTTATCATTACATAGGTACCTGTTTTTGAACTTTGTAATTGTCATATTATTATTATTCATAATTATTTAATTTTAACACTTTAATAATTATAGTTTCAAAGTGAAGCCAAGGTCATCACGTGTCGGTAATCATCCACCTGTTTTGAAGATACTGCGGGTGCTAAGAGCAATTGCGGTGGGTTTTTTTAATTGACACTTTCTAGCTGGATGTATACTGTCTCCATGATCATGGTACACCTGAGTTTATACTCCCCCTACATTCGATGCCCCTTAAGTTACATGTACCTCGTCTGGGCACGTTATCAAAAAGAAATTCAATTATTATTCTTATTTTTTTTATTTTTGAATTTGGAAACGTCATAGTTCTTTGATACGTTGCATGAAGAGTACAATAATTGTTCATGTAATTTGCTGCCACCTGAATGCTGAAAATCAGTAAAATAGCTTTCTGAGAGAGAGAGAGAGAGAGAGAGAGAGAGAGAAAACACTATATTATTTGAAATTAAAATTGCTACAACCGGCCCTTGTTTTTATTTATTTTTAACATTTAGAATTTTGTTTGTTAACATGCTGCTCCAGTATGTACATAGTGTGGGGGGGGGGGGGGATCATGAACCAGTAAGGAACACAAACTATTCAAATGATCATTTACATGTATTTGAAAACAACTTTAAAAAAAATAATATATTCTTATCAGTGGATAAGTTAGTTTTTGTTTGTTTGTTTTGGTTTTTTGATTGTTGTTGTTTTTTTTTATAATTAAACTTGCCTTATAAAACAGTGATTTATAGCATGGAAGTAAATTATAAATGATCTGTAAAACGAAACTAAGTTACACTGTATGAGAATTTTTAGTGATTATCACGACCTACATATACATGTAATTTACGACAACCTAGCTTAAATGTAAATATGAAAACTTAGCATTTTACGTGTACAGTACGTCTCAGCTATTTCATAGATAAGATCATAATTCAGTTGTTTGTCTTTCAAACATTTAAATTACGATTTAGCAATTGCAATTACAATTGGAAGGTCCAACTTATTTAAAAATGCTTGAATAATGTAAACAAATGAATTTGAAAGCTTTTTTTTATTAAGATACTCTTATCAATTTCACTCCATCCGATATATCGAAAATAAATTAAACACCTTTTCTTCTTTTTCTTTCGAGATATACTTAGCATGTAAGTTAAGAAAAATAAAAGTGATAATTGTACGTCGAATGTACGGTGAAATTCTTAAAAATTTATCAACATTCTTCATATTGTCACTTACATGTACATGTTTCGATCACCATAAAAGCAGTAACGATCGATTTCACTACTGTATTTGGAATATACAAGGGGCAGGGCTTACTGGCGGCAAGATTAAAGCGGGGTCTGCTTCACGCATGAGTGCGTAAAGCGAACCCGGAAAGCAAACGCCGGGTTCGCTCTAGCGGACCCAGAGCTGACCCCGAACGAACGCAGAGCAAACCCAAAGCGCACCCAGAGCGGTCCCAAATTTTCTGAAAGCGGACCCGCAGCGGACCCCGAGCGAACTCGGGGTGCGCTTAGGGTTCGCTCTGGTGTTACGTTGTGTCCGGTCGGTACTGTAGTTACTTGGGAATGGACCTGCTTCCAAAACTTTAACCTGGTCACTCAGGTGGAAAATGTAGGTTAGATCCAGCATTTGAAGCAAGTCTGGTAGTGTCCATCCCTAGATGCATCATTCAAGTAGGGTTTATAGTTACTTGAAAATGTACCTGTTCCTAAAACTGTAACCAGGACGCCGATGCTAATGCCAATGCCAGGGGTATAGCATAAGCTCATCTCAACTTTGTAGAGGTGAGCTTAAAATGAAATAAACTGACAGATAAAGCTATGTTGCACAAGAGCAAAAGCATGAACAAGGATCAACAAAATAAGTAGTCTTAAACTAGTACTCCATGACAAATCTTATATATTGTAGATATATTTACTTGCCTGTTCTGCTATCAACATGTAAACAAATAAAACAATAGTGCTTGAGCACTATTAGTAAACCCATCTCATTCCCAATGACCTCTCTTGGTCTTTGAATAATATTTAAAGTTCATTCAAAGTAATCACCAATGTTAAAATTTTTGAAAATTAGGTCAAACTTCAAGGTCATTGGGTAAAATAATCATAGCATGTTTGGAAAGGTCACAGGTAATGTACATGAGAAAAATGAAAGCCCTTTCTTTTCTTATTCAAAAGTTATGACCTAAGTTTAAGTTTGTTAAAATTCTTGAAAAGTAGGTCAAACTTCATGGTCAAGATGTCAGAAATCATAGAATGTTTATATACCCTACTAGTACTAGGAGACTGGCTTCTTCTCTGAAAAATTTTAATTTCTTACTTAAACTCAAGATTTTTATTACAACAGTACCAAAAATCTGAGAACATGGTTGTGGTGTCAATTATTGTATTCATGCTGTAATTTTAATGACTATTACCGATAAGCTTTGAGTGAGTTTGGGATCCTGCGGTGACAATAAGCAGCTAACCAGTACTGTACAGTCATATTCCAACTTCGGAGGCCCACTTTTGTTGTTCGTCCCAATTCACATCCATAAATGGACAAGTTATGTATTGTTTCATAGTCATATTTTATGGGGTCCTTAGATAGAGTGCTGGAAGAAAAGAAAGAAGACTCTGATAAACTGGTTTGATTTCTGCAAGAAAAACATAGGTAATCAAAGATTACTAAGCTCAACTCAACGAATGTTATCTATAAGTAAGGCAAATCTCACATCATATTTTTTTCCTAGTTAGTGTACATCCCAAGATTAATATCCATCAATATTAAATTCAGAATCAAAAGCAAATCTGGAAGTGTCCATCTCTAGATACATCATCATCCATGCTAATTTGGTTAAAATATGGCTAAAATTCACTCATGGAAAATCTAGGTCAGATCCAGAATCCGAAGCAGGTTAGTTAGTGTACATCCCAAGATGCATCATCCATGCAAGTCTGGTCCAGGTAGGGCTTACAGCTCCTTGGGAATGGACCTGCTCCAAAAACTTCGACCTGGTCACTCATCTGGAAAATCTAGGTCAGATCCAGCTTCCGAAACAAGTATGGTAGTGTCCATCCCCAGATGCATCATCCATGCAAGTTTGGTCAAGGTAAGGCTTATAATTACTTGGGAATGGACCTGCTCCAAAAATCTAGGTCAGATCCAGCATCTGAAGCAAGTGTGGTAGTGTTTATCCCTAGATGCATCATCCATGCAAGTTTGGTCAAGGTAAGGCTTAAATAATCACTTGGGAATAGACCTGCTCCCAAACCTTTGACCTAGTCACTCATCTGAAAAATGTAGGTCAGATCCAGCATCTGAAGCAAGTATGGTAGTGTTCTTCCTTTGATGCATCATCCATACAGGTTTGGTCCATTTAGGGCTTATAATTGGGTACCTGCTCTAAAAACTTTAACCTAGTGACTCATCTGGAAAATCTAGGTCAGATCCAGTATCTGAAGCAAATATGGTAGTGTCTATCCCTAGATGTATTATCCATGCAAGTTTGGTCTAGGTAGGGCTAATAGTTCCTTGGGAATGGATCTGCTCCAAAAACTTTAACCTAGTGACTCATCTGGAAAATCTAGGTCATATCCAGCATCCGAAACAAGTGTGGTAGTGTCCAGCCCTATATGCATCCTCCATGCAAGTTTGATCCAGGTAAGGCTTATAATTACTTGGGAATGGACCTGCTCCAAAAACTTTATTCTGGTCACTCACCTGGAAAATCTAGGTCAGGTCCAGCATCCGAAGCAAGTGTGGTAGTGTCCATCCCTACATACGTCATCCATGCAAGTTTGGTCCAGGTAGGGCTTATAATTCCTTGGGAATGGACCTGCTCCAAAAACTTTAACCTGGTCACTCATCTGGAAAATCTAGGTCAGATCCAGCATCCGAAGCAAGTGTGGTAGTGTCCATCCCTAGATGCATCATCCATGCAAGTTTGGTTCAGGTAGGGCTTATAGTTACTTGAGATTGGGACTTGCTCCTAAAACTTTAACTGGGACGCCGACGCTAACGCCGACAGTATAGCATAAGCTCATCTCGACTTCGTTGAGGTGAGCCAAAAATTGCAATTGGACAAGTAACTTTTTTTCTTTTGTACATTCATAGAATTGTGTAACTTTTTCTTTCTTTTCTATGCCTGTTCCAAGTTTCAAGAAAATCATGAAAGGATCTCTATTTAATCCTGTCAACATAATTCAAGCATGCAGCTCTACTGTCTTGTATGATCAACAAGAGGCCCATGGGCCCTGATAGTCACTTATGTATCATAAGTTTCTCAGGCTTTGAATACTTAAACTCCAATTAGAAATGGAACTCTGGCCTCATGTGACAAAATATTTACAGTTTGGTGAGAACTCTATAACTCTACAAGGCCAAAATTTTTTTTACGATTTTCTGTTCAAAAATATGCATTGGATGGTCAAAAAATAAAAATAAAACTAGAAATATGTCCATAGGATATAAATGCCCTGCCAAGTGTATATTAGTAGTGCAACATGAAAATTTGTATTACTGTATGAAGTTAGATTAGAATATCTTGAAAAGTTTCTTTAAAATTGAAATCTAAAAAATTGTATAAAGATGATAAATTCTCGCCAAATTATGTGTAAGTGCATGAAACATCAAGTTGCCTTAGACATTTTGACGTTATCATCCCCTTTACCCAAGGATACTTTGTGGCAAGTTTGGTCGAAATTGGCCCAGTGGTTCTTGAGAAGAAGATGAAAATGTGAAAATTAATGACAATGCCAACAGCGACAACGACAAACAATGGAAAAATTTTGATCAGAGAAGCTCACTTGAGCCTTCGGCTCAGGTGGGCAAAAAATCAGGTTTTATCAGGGAATATGCAAGAATTATTTCAAAATAAATGTATTAAATAGATATAGTTCGGGTAAAAATACTCATATTCTTTATTCATTATCTATTATGTCATCATTTGGAAAATTTCAAGGAAGTTGCTTTTTTCCAAGACTTTCAATTGGGAAAGAGGTAAAAGCAACACATGAACAAGAGGCCCATGGACCACAACGCTCACCTGAGTAATTTTGGCCTTGCTGTTTTTCAACTGATTCCCCCCCCCCCCCCCTTGTAGTACTTATTGTGGCCCCGCCCTACCCCCAGGGGTCATGATTTGAACATTTAGAATCTACATTACCCAAGAATGCTTCCACATAAGTTTCAGCTTTTCTAGCCCAGGGGTTCTTTAGAAGAAGATTTTTACTACTTGTACATATTTCAATGTAAAACTTGGATTCCCTACTGTGGCCCCGCCCTACCCCCGGGGGTCATGATTTGAACAATTTAGAATCTACACTACCCCAGGATGTTTCTACATAAGTTTCAGCTTTTCTGGCCCAGTGGTTCTTGAGAAGAAGATTTTTAAAGATTTTTTCTACATATTTCAATGTAAAACTTGGATTCATTATTGTGGCCCCGCCCTACCCCCGGGGGTCATGATTTGAACAATTTAGAATCTACACTTCCCCAGGATGCTTCCACATAAGTTTCAGCCTTTCTGGCCCAGTGGTTCTTGAGAAGAAGATTTTTAAAGATTTTTTCTACATATTTCAATGTAAAACTTGGATTCCCTATTGTGGCCCCGCCCTACCCCCGGGGGTCATGATATGAACAATTTAGAATCTACACTACCCCAGGATGTTTCTACATAAGTTTCAGCTTTTCTGGCCCAGTGGTTCTTGAGAAGAAGATTTTTAAAGATTTTTTCTACATATTTCAATGTAAAACTTGGATTCATTATTGTGGCCACGCCCTACCCCCGGGGTTCATGATTTGAACAATTTAGAATCTACACTTCCCCAGGATGCTTCCACATAAGTTTCAGCCTCTCTGGCCCAGTGGTTCTTGAGAAGAAGATTTTTTAATGACCCCACCCAATTTTTGTCTTTTCTTGATTATCTCCCCTTTAAAGGGGGCTTGGCCCTTCATTTTAACAATTTAAACTCCCCTTCACCCAAGGATGCTTTGTACCAAGTTTGGTTAAAATTGGCCCAGTGGTTCTTGAGAAGAAGTTGAAAATGTGTAAAGTTTACAGACGGACGGACAGCCAGACGGATGGACAGACGGACCGACGGACGACGGACAACGGGTGATCAGAATGGCTCACTTGAGCTTTCAGCTCAGGTGAGCTAAAAATGGCAATGTTTGATGATGTTACGGTCCACCGGAGAGCAGTTCAGTTATATGTTAATTGAGTAATGATGCCTCAAGAGACTTTAAATCATTACAAAAGATAACAAAATTTAAAAACATCACTAATATATTAGAATACAAGTCCAATGGGCATTTTTAAGCAGAAGTTTTTTGTTTAAGTACCCCAGTAGATCAAAACATAGACAATTAGCTATTGGTAAAAATGAAGGATGCTATTATTGCAGACTGTTGAAGAAAATACTTCCTATTTAGTTCAGTGTGAGTCCCTTCCATAACTTACTAATACAAGTTTTCATTAGGGCCCATGTATGTCAAGATCGGCACTTTGACTGTTTTTGGAGAAATGGGAACTAGAGCATGTGTGTCAATAAACTTTTCAGAATTTAAATGGGGCTTATCCAACTTTTTAAAGCAAAGATGAAACATCAATTTGCCTTAGAAATTTTGACGTTATCATCCATGTGCTGTATGGGGATACCACATATAACATAAAATCCCATAATTTGCTGATTTGAGCCTATTATTCTTTGAATTTTGCTATGTATATTGATGAGAAAAATGTACTTGTGAGAAGGGAAAATTTTTCACAGCACTCTTGACTACTTGTCCATCCACAATTTGACCGGACAATCCTTGTATATCCCTACTAAATATGATAGGCATTATATGATATGCATTAGCTTCATTATTTTTGGTCTCTGTAATATAAAGGATGACTGCACTTAAGGACATATGAAATTTGCAACAAAATAAACTTTAAAAACAAGCATTTTTCTTTTCATTCCAAGAATGGTCAACATCCAATCTACAACTTTATGTAATTACATTTAATAAAAGTGTGTATTTACGAAGTTCGAATCTGTTTTCAAAGACAGGGATCATCACAATTTCTTAATCTCTGTACGATAATGAGGACGCCCACTTTTTTACTGACTTTATACATAGTAAGCACATGTTTGTCTATTGTTCTACATTTAACAGTAGTTGTATATTTGCATAAATAATAATGTGTCAAAAGGAGATTAATAGACAAACATGCGCTCATGGTTAAAAAGAGAAAAAACTGCTTCTTCTTACATTCGCTCTCTGTGTTGTAACCAAGGGTTGTGACATGTTGAATATTATAATTCACCACGTGATTTCTTACCTCAGGTAACTTTGTGAATACTAAATTCTGTCGCGTGACTTGTAAGAAAGCATGTTTTGTGCTAACTAGGACATTGTGTTCGAACATGTTAAGTCATCTGACATTGATATAAAACCTGCTTTAATTACATTGACGTGCTCATATTGTTAATTTTGTTTTGAAACCTTTGTCAGGAGTGATCACGTTCTTTTTTCCAAACATGTCATTGTTATTTATCAAGTCTAATTTTAGACCCATTCTTACAATGTTAGCTCCACCTCTTATGCATATGTAATGTTCAATCAAGGGCAGGTAAGTGTAAATTCACTATTATTGGAAAGCAGTAAGGACAAAAACCATTTTATTGTATCACAGTCTAAAATCATTTTAAGATTTAAATTTGGCTCCAAATTGACAGGATTCTTTCATAAACATACAAAAGTAAAATAAGGTTTAGATATAAAAGCAACAGAAGCAACCGAAAAAGACCCAAAAACAGGCATTAAGTGCAGTCATCCTTTTCTTTGATTTATCATGTGTGAAAAAAAAGGATGAACGTATCAACTGTCTTTAAACTGTTATTTCTGAGATTGATGGATAATTACTAAAAATTTCAAAAGTATGAATTACATCTACTTTATCAATATAAGCAAACTTTAAACTGACCACAACTGTCTTATTACCTATCAATGGATTTACATGTACATATCAGTTACCACTGATATCAACTTTACAAATAACGATGACTTAGCGTACAGACCTGTTGTGGAACTCCTCCAGATCTGTGGGTCCCTCCCCACATTTTGGTTTACTTGCTTTTGGATATGCTCCTAGCCCAATGGCCATGCACATGCACTCTGACAGAATCCATGCCATGTATAAACGAGTGCGGAAAATGATAAACATTGGCATCATAAACAACAATCGATACCAAAATGGATTCTCATAGAATTCACTTGATGTTGCATACTGAAATATAAAAGTGTTCATTGATATAATGTATATAATGCATAAACTGAATATCTGAAAAGTTTATATGTTTTCAGGCAATTTGGGTACTATTATAATTACGAGAGTGATGTTTTTGTTTATCAAATCATTGCAAGCTGCAGGTTTTGTACTCTCCTATAATAATAACAAGCAAATTCAAAGAATTGTGGTTCCCTGCTTTCAGTGTCTTAGTGGTTAGGATGCAATTATTTATGGATTGTTGTAACTGTCTTGCATGTGTGTCCTTCAAACTTCGAGTTCAAGGTTAAGAAGTCAAAAATGATACTTTAAAACTATTATACCTTTCTGAAAGGTGTTGACATAGGTAATGTACTAGTAAAATACGAAAGCCCTATCTTCTCTTATTCAAAAATACTTACAAATGTAAAAAAAAAAAAAAAAAAAAAGAAAAAAAAATATAATAAAGAATGTAAGTTAAACTTAAAGGTCAAGGATACGATCTCAAGAACCAGAGTACATTTGGAAAGTTATTGAAACAGGTAATGCATATGATAAATATTAATTCCCTATCTTCTCTCTTTCAAAAGTTATCAGCAATTATGTTAAAATATTTTGAAAATTAGGTCAAACTTTTAGGGTTATGGGGGTTGAAAATCATAGTACATTTGAAAACATCTTGTCGCAGGTTATGCACATGTCAAATCTAAATGCCCCATCTTCTCTCCTTCAAAAGTTAGCATCAGTTATGATATTTTTGAAAATTAGTAAAACTTGAAGGTCAAGGTCACAGGGTCAAATATCAAAACATGTTTGGAAACTTCTTATCACAGGTATTGCACTTGTCAACATGAGGCCCAAAGGCTTTGACGGTTACCCGAGTATAATACAACACTGTGAAGAATCCATAGAAGTTTAAAATAAACTGACAGATGAAACTATGTTGCCCAGGAGAGAGAGGATGATCAGGATCTATGTACTGTTAAACTATTTTCACTGTATAATCAATAGAGCCCCTTCCTAACACCTGAAACCTTGACCATGGGGCCAAGAAATTCACAATTTTGGATGAGGCACCCTTGCTCATCATAACCATGCATTTAGTTTATATGCTAAATACAGTACTCAAGGGCAGAAAAGTTTTTCAAAGAATTAATACATTTTACTATATAATCCATAGAACACCAATTTTACATTAGAACCCTTGACCCAGGGGCCAAGAAATTCAAGATTTTGGACCCTTGCTTATCATAACTTTGCACTTAGTTTTTTAGCTGAATACCCAGGAGCAGAGAATAAGATTTTCAAAGAAAGAATGTATTTCACTAAATAATCAACACAAGAAGAATTTTGAAGATTGTACTAATTTTGATGGCTTAAGCCCCACCCCTTAGACCCCAGGGGGGCAGAGACCATGAAAGTTAAAAATTTTATTCCCCTTTACTCATAGATGCTTTAAGCAAAATTGGTTGAAACTGGTTTGGCAGTTCCAGACAGAAAGCTGAAATTATTCAAATGTTAACAGACACCTGACAACGGACAATGAATGATGCATGATGATGGATTAAAAAAAAAAGCAAGCAATAAATCATTTGAGTGACCCAGATGACCTAACAAGAGGCCCATGGGCCACATCGCTCACCTGAGCACATTGGCAAGGCAAAAGCACAAATCAGTTCAGTATTGAAAAGATAACGGGGGGGGGGGGGGGGGGGGGGGGGGGCTTGAATTTTAAACTACCTGATGATGCTTCCATGTCAATATATAATTTGTTTTAACAAATGGCTTTGTTGTACTTGAGAAGATTTAAAAAAAAAATTCCCATATATTCCTCTGTAAAAATTTGATCCCCCATTGTGGCTCCTCCCTATCTCAGGGGTCATCATTTGAACAAACTTGAATCTACACTACCTGAGGATGCTTCCATATCAATATGACTAAACATAGCTTTTCTGTTCTTGAGAAGAAATTTTTTCTATATGTTCCTATGTAAAACTTTCGATCCCCTTATTGGGCCCCACCCTACCCTCGGGGGTCATCATTTGAACAAAATTTAATTTACATTACATGAGGATGCTTCCATATCAAAATGACTAAACATGATTTTCAGTTCTTGAGAAGAAGATATTTGCCTATATGTTCCTATGTAAAATTTTCGATCCCCATTATGGCCCATCCCTATCCCCTGGGGTCATCATTTTAACAAACTTGAATCTACACTACCTGAGGATGCTTCCATATCAAAATGACTAATCATGGCTTTGCAGTTCTTCATCAGAACATATCTTCCTATATATTTCTATTTCAGACTTTTATCCTCCATTGTGGCCCCACCCTACCCCAGTGGGTCATGATTTGAACAAACTTGAATCTACACTACCTGAGGATACTTCCACATAAATATGATCAATCAGGGCTTTGCTGTTCCTGAGAAGAAGATATTTAAAGATTTTTCCTATATATTTCTATGTAAAACTTTGATCCTCTATTGTGGCCCCGCCCTACCCCCGGGGGGTCATGATTTCAACAAACTTGAATCTACACTACCTCAGGATGCTTTCATATAAATATGACCAATTAGGGCTTTGCTGTTATTGAGAAGAAGATTTTTAAAGATTTTTCCTATATATTTCTATGTAAAACTTTGATCCTCTATTGTGGCCCCGCCCTACCCCCAGGGGTCATGATTTGGACAAATTTGAATCTACACTACCTGAGGATGCTGCAATATAAATATGACCAATTAGGGCTTTACTGTTATTGAGAAGAAGATTTTTAAAGGTTTTTCCTATATATTTCTATGTAAAACTTTGATCCTCCATTGTGGCCCCGCCCTACCCCCGGGGGTCATGATTTGAACAAACTTGAATCTACACTACCTGAGGTTGCTTCCATATAAATATGACTCATCATGGCTTTGCTGTTCTTGAGTAGAAGATTTTTAAAGGTTTTTCCTATATATTTCTATGTAAAACTTTGATCCTCCACTGTGGCCCCGCCCTACCCCAGTGGGTCATGATTTGAACATACTTGAATCTACACTACCTGAGGATACTTCCACATAAATATGATCAATCAGGGCTTTGCTGTTCCTGAGAAGAAGATATTTAAAGATTTTTCCTATATATTTCTATGTAAAACTTTGATCTTCCATTGTGGCCCCGCCCTACCCCCGGGGGGTCATGATTTCAACAAACTTGAATCTACACTACCTGAGGATGCTTTCATATAAATATGATCAATCAGGGCTTTGCTGTTATTGAGAAGAAGATTTTTAAAGATTTTTCCTATATATTTCTATGTAAAACTTTGATCCTCTATTGTGGCCCCGCCCTACCCCCAGGGGTCATGATTTGAACAAACTTGAATCTACACTACCTGAGGTTGCTTCCATATAAATATGACTCATCATGGCTTTGCTGTTCTTGAGAAGAAGATTTTTAAAGGTTTTTCCTATATATTTCTATGTAAAACTTTGATCCTCCACTGTGGCCCCGCCCTACCCCCAGGGGTCATGATTTGAACAAATTTAAATCTACACTACCTGAGGATACTTCCACATAAATATGATCAATCAGGGCTTTGCTGTTCCTGAGAAGAAGATTTTTAAAGATTTTTCCTATATATTTCTATGTAAAACTTTGATCCTCCATTGTGGCCCCGCCCTACCCCCGGGGGGTCATGATTTCAACAAACTTGAATCTACACTACCTCAGGATGCTTTCATATAAATATGACCAATTAGGGCTTTGCTGTTATTAAGAAGAAGATTTTTAAAGATTTTTCCTATATATTTCTATGTAAAACTTTGATCCTCCACTGTGGCCCCGCCCTACCCCCGGGGGTCATGATTTGAACAAACTTGAATCTACACTACCTGAGGATGCTTCCACATGAGTTTCATCTTCCCTGGCTTTGTGGTTCTTGAGAAGAAGATTTTTAAAAGATGCTTCTAATTTTTCACTAATTCTATATTATCTCCCCTTGAAAGAGGGCATGGCCCTTCATTTGAACAAACTTGAATCCCCTTCACCCAAGGATACTTTGTGGCAAGTTTGGTTGAAATTGGCCCAGTGGTTCTTGAGAAGAAGTCGAAAATGTGAAAAGTTTACAGACGGACGGACGGACAGACAGACGGACAGATGGACTACAGACAAAATGTGATCAGAAAAGCTCACTTGAGCCTTCGTCTCAGGTGAGCTAAAAATGAAACTCTACTTCTGTCATTCAAAAGTTATCACCAATGTCAATTAAATATTTGAAAATTAGGCCAAACTTCAAGGTCAAGGTCACAGGGTCAAAAATCATAGTACATTTGGAAAGGTGTTGTCACAGGTAATGTACATGTCAAATATGGAATCCCAATCTCTTCTCAATCAAAAGTTATGACCAAGATAAAAGTAATGCTACCATTTTTGAAAAGTAGGTCAAACATCAAGGTCAAGGTCATGGTAAAAAATCATAGAATATTTGGAAAAATCTTGTCACAGAAAATATACATGTGAAATCCCTATCTTTTCTCATTCAAAATGTATGACCAAAGTTAAAATTTTTGTGACAGACTGACAGAAGCGAACTGACAGATGGACAGACATAGAGAAGAGAGATATGTTATGCAAAAGATAACAGAACAGGGTTACTTTTGGTAGCTCAGTCTATTGTGGGTTGCATATGTCCACACAATTTTCTGTGCATTCTTTCATACTACAGTTTTATGTTCATAATTTTATTACTCAGTGGGGTTAATTTTAGTATGGGGTTTCTCATGTCTACACCTACTACAGACAAGTCCATCACATGTCTGAAAATCCTTACAGGGTTAAGCCTATATTTTTTTTTTAACCTTGCGCAGTCACATCAAGCATAAATAAAACCTGCGGAATTAATCCCACAATACAAAAATAACCCCAGAATACTGGAAAATATGCACATTTAACCTCACAGATTCCTCTGGTAAGAGCTGCCAGATGATTGAGATTTAATGTTTCTTCCCTTTAGCGAAAGCAGAGGACAATAAAATATATACAATAAACATAGCTAATCAGAGATTACAGAGCTCACCTCAACGAATGTTGTCTTTAAGTAAGGCAAAGTCCCACACTTAACTAATAATCTAGTAATGTGCATCCCTTGATGCAACATTTACGCAATTTTGGTCTGATAGGGCTTGCAGTTACTTGGGAATGGACTTATCTAAAAACTTTAAACTAGTCACTCATCCATAAAATGCAAGTCAAATCCAGCATCTGAAGCAAGTTTGAGAGTGTTTGTCCCTTGATGCATATCCATGCAAGTTTAGTTCAGATAGGCCTTATAGCTACTTGGAAAAAACTTTAACCTGGTCACTCATCCAGAAAATATAGGTCAGATCTAGTATCTTAAGCAAGTCCAGTAGTGTGCATCCTTAGATGTATCATCCATGCAAGTTTGGCCAACATAGGGCTTATAGTTACTTGGAAATGAGATCTGCTCCAAAAACTTTAACTTGGTCACTCATCCAGAAAATGTAAGTCAGATCCAGCAATCGAAGCAAGTTCAGAAGTGTGCATCCTTAAATGTATCATCCATGCAAGTTTGGTCAATATAGGACTTATAGTTCCTTGGAAATGAGATTTGCTCCAAAATCTTTAACCTGCTCCAAAAACATTAACCTGGTCATTCTTTAGCTGAAATTGCAGCATCTGAAACCTTGACTGGTACAATGAAACACACCAGAAGCATCCTCCATGCATCTCTAGTTAAGATAGGGCATAGAAGTACTTGAAAAGAAAACCTGCTCCAAAAACTTTAACCTGGCACACCGACACCGACGGAATTACATAAGCTCCCCTAACTTCATTGAGGTGAGCTAAAAATAATATAATGATGCAAAGAATCAAAGTGTTCAAAAACTCTTCACAAGCTGATCATGATATGCAAAGACATGAAAAGATGCTGAAGATGCTGCACTGTGATGATGGACAATAAATGTGAGGTGTCAAAAAAAATAATCGACTCTAGAGCCAAACACTTTAACCACAGCACCAACCAGGCAACTTTTGTAGACTGAAGAATACATTTATACTTGGCAATACAATACAGTGAAAACTAGTAAGAACTTTTCATGAATGAAAAATTATATGTACTATTACATATCATGATAAATAGTTCAAAATATCATGATATATGATTCTTGTACATTGATACTCATTCCTACTCCATAGATCAATCAATTTAGGATGGATGGACAGACAGATAGATCAATAAGTACTTTATGCTGAAACTGATATAACTTACCTTTATACTGAAAAAATTTGAAAAGACAAGGTATGTGATTGCTATAAGAGGTAGATCTTTCATCCTATGTAACACAGGTTGTATGGATGGAATGTTGGCCACATTGGAAGTGTTCACCATGTCAAGATAGGTTCTGTATTTATAGTAGGGACCTGAAATTAGTATAACCTGCAATACTTACTGTGCATAGTATTTCTACAATTCTCACAAATCCTTGTACTATTGTGCTATTGAAAGTTTGGATTCTTTTCTTGAGATGTGATTTGGAGTTTATCGATATCAATTAACCAATCAGTGAGTGTATTGCACAGCTATAGTAAACGAGGATATCTCCCTTTGGGATTTTTCCTGACTCTATAATCTTGGGAATGAAAAACACACAGCCACATAAAGAATGATCACAATAGCTATAGCTTCTTCCAATTTTACGTTGATGTCCCTGCAATGTAATCTTGAATCTATATTGCAGACATAGACGTGCTCCCTAAATAACAAATAAACATAGCTCGATACCTACCTGTTAAATATTCATTAAATACTGTACAGCAGGAAATTAACTCGCGGCGATAATATTCCCTATATTCGTGGAAATAAAAATACCGCAAATTCAACATACAGTGAATAATTCTTCAAAAAATGATAAGGATAAATTGAAATATTACTGATACCTGTGATTAGTTTCATTAACTTTATCTGTGTTTCCTTGCAAATGTGAAAGCAGTAATTGATAAAGCGGAGATGTAGACTGTCTTCCTAATTATGCGGTTGTACGGATCAATCACTAATATGTTGTTTTTCAAAGTTTAATTGGTAAATGAACATATATAACTAACATTTAATTCTGCCATCCACTAGAGGTGCGACATAATTACCTATAAGACATGTATTGTTAGATTTCTCCAGTGCATATCACTCAGTCTTATTATCTTTAAGGTATTCAATGTATAATGAAAGGATATTGAACAATTTTGAATCATTTTAAACTAGTTAAATATGTATAACTATTGCTAAATAAAGATGAAAGCGAAATGAACCAAATTCACTTGACTGTTAACATACAAGAAGCCAACCATTTTGCACCTTAACATTTTTGAAGAGTTATCTGCCCTTGATGAAAAGAAGAAAATTTTAATTTTGTCAAAATATCTGTGGTTAATGTTTAATTTTATTTAGGATTTTAATAAAAAGAGAGTTTATGCATATTTTCACCAAGAGATTTGAATGAATTTTAAAATTCAAGGCCCAATTAATTGGACAATTATCAAAATTTTGTAAATTCCTTTGGTGGAGTATTTTTATTTGATAAGACCTTCAAAATGCTACCATGATTAAAAATATCAGACCATTTGTTTATTAGGTAAAAAATATGGTCGTTATACATTGAATACCTTAAGCAAGGCTTTTACGTAGTAAAGACAACACCGTTACACATTAATCAATTTTATAACTGTTCAACATTTTGACTATCAGCCGTACTGACAACTGATTTAGATTCAGGGGGAAATTAAATATACTGCGGTAAATACTACTCTGTATGCTTCCCAAAACATACCTATGAACAAACACCTGCAAAAGGTTTTTTTTTTTTTTTTTTTTTTTTTTACAAAATTGTTAATAGGTTTGGATACAACTTAAAATAACTTGAGTAAATCACTTAAGTATAGACTCATATGTATTTCAAAAATATTTATTAAAGAAAAAAAAACGAGAAAAAAACTAGAAATATGTCCATAGGACATGAATGCCCCGCCGAGGGTATATTAGTAATGCAACATTTTAACACAAATTGAGAAAAGTGAGGTCAAGGTCAAAGGAAAGGTCTAGGTGAAAAAATATTGATGCAGTTGAATAGCTTACATCAGTATGTATCAGCATATGAAGTTTGACACTAATTTAAGAAAAGTGAGGTCAAGGTCAAAGGAAAGGTCAAGGTCAAAAAATGTTGATGCAGTTGAAAAGGTTACATCAGTATGTATTAGCATATGAAGTTTGATAAAAATATTGTGAATGGTTTCTTTAAAACTGAGCTAAACACTAATTTAAGAAAAGTGAGGTCAAGGTCAAAAGAAAGGTCAAGGTCAAAAAATATTGATGCAGTTGAATAGTTCTCATCAGTATGTATCAGCATATGAAGTTTGATAACACTATCTTGAATGGTATCTTTAAAACTGAGCTAAAACTTATTTCAGAAAAGTGAGGTCAAGGTCAAAGGAAAGGTCAAGGTAAAAAATATTGATGCAGTTGAATAGCTCTCATCATTATGTATCAGCATATGAAGTTTGTTAAAAATATCTTGAATGCTTTCATTAAAACTGAGCTAAACACTAATTTAAGAAAAGTGAGGTCAAGGTCAAAAGAAAGGTCAAGGTCAAAAAATGTTGATGCAGTTGAATAGCTTACATCAGTATGTATCAACAAATGAAGTTTGATTACATTATCTTGAATGGTATCTTTAAAACTGAGCTAAACACTAATTTAAGAAAAGTGAGGTCAAGGTCAAAAGAAAGGTCAAGGTCAAAAAATGTTGATGCAGTTGAATAGCTTACATCAGTATGCATCAACATATGAAGTTTGATTACACTACCTTGAATGGTATCTTTAAAACTGAGCTTAACACTAATTTAAGAAAAGTGAGGTCAAGGTCAAAGGAAAGGTCAAGGTCAAAAAATGTTGATGCAGTTGCATAGCTCTCATCAATATCTATCAGCATATGAAGTTTGATAAAAATATCTTGAATGGTATATTTGAAACTGAGCTTTGAACAGAGCTAAACGCAAAGTGTGACGGAAGGACAGACGGAAGGATGGAAGGACAGAAGGACGGAAGGACGGAAGACGGACATGACAAACACTATATGCCCCGGCCATATTCATGGCGGGGCATAAAAATAAGAAAGTTTATCTAAATGTGTAACATTGTAAATCTGACAACATTTTATCTTTTATTTGGGATCAGTACAGTGTTCCGTTTTATTTAATTGGGTTCAGAATCGACACAATATGCTAGGAAAATACTTGAAGTGCTGAAAAAGTTTTTGTTAATTTTTTTCCTTTCTTCGAATTCAAACGATCGTAATTTACTGCAAATTGTACAATTTGCGATCTTTTCCGACCACGATTTTAACCTGCTGTACAGTACTTCAATTCATAGAAATGCCTTTTACTTCTGTTTATGGTGTAAGCTGTGTATATGAGGTAAGAATCAAGATCATGTGATATAAACAATCCCCACTTTGGATAGCATGATAGGCCGAGGGTTTGTGAGAATTGTAGCAGATAAGAAAGACTTAAGAGCAAAGATGTTGTTGTGATAGTTGCAGTGACAAGAACTGGGCTTTCTTGTTGTGATGGACCAAGACAGTAGGATTGGGGCTCCTTTTTTTATGGTACCAGTTAGTAAGACTAAAGTTTCTTCTTACAGTATGATCCCTGGGCTGGGGTCCTTGTTTTGAAGGTCCCATGACCTTGGACTTTAGTTTTTTGTGATGGTCCCAGTATATGGTTTGGGGTTCTTGTTGTGATGGCCCAAGTAAGTTGATGGTCCCAGTAATTGGATGGGGTTCTTGTTGTGATGGTCCCAATAAGAGGGACAGGGGGTTTCTTTTTGTGATGGTTTCAGTAAGTGAGACAGGGGTTTCTTGTTGTGATGGTTTCAGTAAGTGAGACAGGGGTTTCTTGTTGTGATGGTCCCAGTAAGTGGGACAGGGGTTTCTTTTTGTGATGATTCCATTAAGTGGGACAGGGGTTTCTTTTTGTGATGGTTCCATTAAGTGGGACAGGGGTTTCTTTTTGTGATGGTTCCAGTAAGTGGATTGGGTTCTTGTTGTGATGGCCAACGTAAGAGGGACAAAAGGTTTCTTTTTGTGATGGTTCCAGTAAGTCAAAGGACAGGGGTTTCTTTTTGTGGTGGTTCCAGTAAGAGGGACAGGGGTTTCTTTTTGTGGTGGTTCCAGTAAGAGGGACAGGGGTTTCTTTTTGTGATGGTTCCAGTAAGTAGGACAGGGGTTTGTTTTTGTGATGGTCCCAGTAAGTGGATTGGGTTCTTGTTGCGATGGCCCCAGTAAGTCAAAGGACAGGGGTTTCTTTTACAAAGGCTGGAAAAGGGATGAGTTGTTGTTTTGTAATTGTTTTGGAGATGATGCCAAGTTGATTTTGGGTATGTCAGTGGAATAACATAGCCAGGCGGCCTTTTGTTATTATGAGAGGGCTGATCTATGGAGGAAATTTGGGTTTGTACAATACAACCAGACGATATTCATGAAATAAACATACAAGATGAAACATAAAGCATACATAAATGACATACAATCGTTGGTGATATTCTCATGATATCTGCATATAAAATTACAACATATAGATTTAATATTTAGGGCATAAATCGGGGTGATCCTATCTAGGGGTTGTTTTGGTAAGAGGGAAATCTGTAACATTGTGATGGTTTCCAGTAAGTATGAAATGGAGTACATTTTTACGAAAATAAAGCCAAACACCATGCTATCATTGTTATGCCCCGTAATTGAAGATTTATAGTTTTTGCCCTGTCCATCTGTCTGTCTGTTTGTCCACAAAAACTTTAACCTTGCCCATATTTTTGATTGGTTGATGCTATGGCTTTCATATTTCACATGTGTATTCCTTGTGACAAGACCTTTCTTTGGGTACCATCAAATTTGACCTTTTGACCTTGGAGTCTGACCCAGTTTTGCAAAATTTTATCCAACTTTAACCTTGGCCATAACTTTTGAACAGTTGGTGGTAGGGCTTTAAATTCATACTTCACATATGTAATCCTTGTAAAAAGACCTTCCTTAAGATACCAGCAACTTTGACTCATTGATCTTGACCAAGGAGTTTGACCTACTATTAAAAAACATTAACCTTGTCCATAACTTTTGAACAGTTAGGGCTTGGGCTTTCATACTTCACATATTTAATCCTTGTGACGAGACCTTCCTTTAGGTACCAACGACTTTGACCCTTTGACCTTGACCTTTGAGTTTGACCTACTTTTAAAAAAACTTTAACCTTGGCCATAACATTTGAACGGTTAGGGCTTGGGCTTTCATATTTCACATATATAATCCTTGTAACAAGACCTTCCATTAGATACCAACACTTTCACCCTTTGACCTTGGAGTTTGACCTACTTTAAA